CTTTAGCAATGGGGACAGGCACCATGTAAACCTGTCAAGTTTACTATGTATTCTTTCAGGGGTAGTTCTCTACTGAGTGAAGCTACCCCCACCCCCTTTTGCCATTTGTATTGTTTTTCAACTTTGGTGTGATGCTGATCTCACCAGAGAGAACATTTTGTGTGTCTCTGCCAGTTTTTCCAATGTCTGTGAGCTAGGAGTGCATGGATAAAGACTCTTTTGATTTAGGGTGACTGTATTTGGATCTTGGGGAGCACTGGATTTGCAGCTGAATAAAGGCTTTAATCTGTGGCTCAGCAAAAGCTGCTGACCACAAGGCAGAATGATGTATTAAAAGTAACATTGTGAGACACTTAAGCAAGTAGTTTTCTGACCATGTAGTAGTGTTGTAGGATATGTAACTCCTTATATAAAAGGAACAGCTTCTGCCACTGTGTGCACCCCTGAGGGAGGCATGGGGGGAGTGGGGGATAGGGCCTGGGCTGTGCGCGGGCAGGGTGGATGGCAGCAGTGCTGGGAGGCAAATTTTAGGGTGACTGTAGCCCACCCCTTAGCTCTCCTCCCAGCACCACTGCTGCCCATTCTGAGCACAGCCCAGGCCCAGCCTCCCACCTCCCACTGGAAAGAGCTCGGTGGATCCCTGGCCCTGAGCATGCAGCAGCCCGCCCTCACTCTGCACACAGATCTGGGGGGGCACATGCCTTCCCTGGGGGTTGCATGCAGTGGTGGAAACCATCCCTCCCCGCCCCCACACACCTTCCCAGACGAGCTGTGCTCCGCACCTTGCCCCACCCCAGTTTTGCAGCCCCTGCCCCACTTCCTCCCTCACTTTAGGGGCCTTGATCTGCCTCTCCCATGCCCCTTGCCCCCCACAGGTGGGCTAGATGCTGGTCTTCAAGCTACTGGGCTGCACTCATGGCTGTGTGCATGCTGCAGCTGCGTGCATGCATGCAGGCATTTATCAACTACATTATTGGCCACGTGGCCAAAAAATATCTAGTAATGTCAATTTTCTTTTTATTGGTGCCGATTTACAATATGGACTGATGGATCAGTGCACCTCCATTGTGAGCACTGTTCTAATTTGTGAGCTCTTCAGGACATGGACTTCATCTTTTGGAATGTTCATATATAGTGCCTAGCACAGTAAAGCCCCAATTTCTGTTGGGTCTTGCTAAAAATATTTCCTTCTAGGGTGGTTTCCATACAGTGTTCTGTAGCTTTCTGCTAGTGAGTATCCAACTCTGCTTCCTACTTGAAATCTGCACATCCCTCTCTAGATGCTTGCAAGGAGGTCCAAATCTCTGTTTTCTTTCCCTTCTCATTCAGAGTACGTTGGCTGCTGCAAAGATGATAGTCTCCACTAATACATCTTTCCTTGATCTGTTTTTTAATCCTAGCCCTCAGTGTTTCTAGTTCCTGTCTCTTGCAGTGATGTGAAAGTCTTGTCAGTTTCTCTTACGTACCTAGTGATCTAAGTAGCAGCCAAGGAAGGTAGGAAGACTAGTTGGCTTTAATTTTGCGGACCCTTGATACAGCTCTGTGTCAGCCTCTCTGTCTCTCTCATATAGACCATGAGTTGTTGCAAACCAACATGATGTAGAGCAAGGATTCTGAACTATTCTTATACCAGATTTGGGGAGGAGAAAGGTGACACACTTGACATCAGTTTCACCGTCCTCTCCTATTTCATATAGAACTGTCAGTAGTCATCAGTGTTCACTTGCTATAGTTGGTCAGTTTATCAGGCCTCATAACCAACAACCCCCATCTGCATACATATTATTGCTACACTGCTGTCTTTCTATGTAGAGGTGAAAACTCAAAATCCCTGTGTTGGATATGTCCTGTGCTTTCATAAATGTATTATTTTCTTTAAAAATCACTTTATTCCAATCTAGATGAGGGCATGCTATTTGTGAAGCCTACTGGTATAGTGTGTGTCGGGTATAATGTGCTTAAATTTTAGCTATTTTCCTTGTAGAAACTTTTTGTTTTCTCCAAAATGTCAAAGAAATTTTACCCAATATTACTTCTTAAGTGTCTTTTACTGTAGGGTCCAAAAATTGTTAGAACTGACCTTAGAAAGTAAAGACTTCTAAAAATCAAGAAATTGCACCTTGAAGTGGGAAATAGGCTTGGGTGGAAATACTTGCATTCTTTCTTATAGTCAAAGGTGGTTTATGTTCATGTAATGACATAACTACCTGGTAAAGTTTCCAGAGCCCTCAATCTTGCTTCCATGCATGGACAAACTACAGCAAGTTATCTGGCATGTTGGAATTGATTGCATCTGTAAAAGACTGTCAAAACAATGTAATCACAGATCTAACAACATCATCTTCTGTTCTGTTAGGCTTAGGAGTTTTCTTCAGTTATAATTTGATGTGGCTTAAAGAGAAAAATGTACACATCTTAATATTAGTTGCTTGTTCAAAATAATTACCAATTAAATAATTGGGATTTGTGTTTTAAGGCTCCAGGGGGAATTGCGACACCGTTAGTCTATGGTCAGCTCCTAGCTTTATACCTGCTGTACAATGACATGTAAGTACCCTTTTCAACTCTTTAACTTTTTGAGGTAATGGTAACAAATTTGGCACCTCAACTAGAACTTGACCTATAATTGTCAGACCTCTTTTTAAATTTTATTAATTAATTGGTTAATAAAATGCACTTGGTACTCGGGGACAGGGGTCAGTAACCTATGGCCTACTGACCAAATTTGGTCCTTGAAGGCATTTGATCTGGCCCATGAATGTGGGGTTGCAACAGTCAGAAGAAGCGGCAGCTGAAGCTGGCTTCTAGTGCCTGTCTGCCTCAAATCTGAGTTGGGTCATTTTGACCCAGAACCTGAAAAAGTTTGCAACCGCTGTACTAGGAGGGTGAATGTGTGTATAGCAAATGTACAGCTAAACAAATAATGAACTTTGATTCCCCATTCCATTATGTCAAGATTAATAAATGTCATTTCCCCCATAAACTCCTTTTACTCTTTCCCCTCAGTGGCTCTTTCTTAGGAAAAAGAAAGGAGTCATAGGCTAGAAATGAAGTGGATCAACTGTGCTGTGATGTGTTGTGGCCTAGCTGATTCACTTTGCTGGATAAAACATGTCTCCCTTTGTCTTGCCCTAGTTGGTGTGGGACAAGGGGTGATGTGATCACCCTACCTTCCCCACTTGGCCAAATTCATGCCCCGTGACAAAGGTTATAGATGTCTGCTACAATGAAGAGGCAGAACCTATTACCACCTATTGTTGTGCCACCAATTTTTCATTTCATGTGGCCCAGCAAAGGGTATTGATGTGTATTTGCTCAACATTTGTGCCACCATATAAATGTTATGACAGCACAAATGAGATGTCAGGCATCATCTGCTTCTACCCTTAGGATTCAGTTGATTCATCTCTGATGGCTCATGGTAAATTGCCTTTTCCAGAGTTGATGGCCTAATCCCTGAAATCTTGTGCAAGAAAAATGAGAATAACCCAAGAGTCCTTTTATCTCAAATGTTGTAACTGTGGCTGGCATTCACTTAGTAGCAAGGCAGTCTCTCCAACAAGTATAGTCAATTCATTTAGGGAAAAAGAATCATGTTTTCATGCTTCACAGAATAGTGTTCAAGAATAAATTAATAGGCTTTTTGAAAGTTGGCATTTACTTTTTGAAAGCTACTTTTGAGAGCTGTTCTTCTATTCTTACAGTGAAAAGTAAGAAGAATATCTGAAGACACTGGCAATAAGATAACTAAACCAATTAGTTATCTTTTGGACTGTTCTTAGGAGGGAAGGGTCAGCACAAACTTGCCAAGTCACAATCTTGTAAATGTGAATGTGCTCAGTAGTGGAAAAAACAAAAGTTTTGATATATTGCCAAATAACACCTTTAGGCACTAAAACTGAGTGCTTCCTTCTTTATGGTTTGGTTTTACATGTTAGTAGGTTAGATAACAAAAGCAGGTATTGGTTTTTTGTAGTTCCTGTCACATGCTGCTATTCACAGTATGGCTGAAATACTTAAACTTCCATTAAATGTCAATGTTGGAGCATTCTATTACATTAATAAACCTAAAGTCACAACTCTTAATGTGTCGGAACTAAATTTAATACTTTATGCTTACAACCCCAGCGTCATCTCTGAAATGAAAACTACCATTTCCTCTGTAGCATATGAGGGCATTTACTTCTGTGTGATTAAGTGAAAATATTATTTTCTGTTTTCTGGAATGAAATACTAAACTTCACTTTTGTTTTAGTGAATCTCTGAGCATTTTCTTTCAACATGTTAATAAAACTGAGTTTTAGCTGTTTAGTTGAAGTAAAATAACTCCAATCCCCACATTTCCTATTTCTTTTCCCAGCGTGGTCCTAGCGAAAACATCAACAAAATGAAACGGAATAGCAGTTTTGAATTGGAACAAAATTTGAAATGAAACTCTGTTCCATTGAAACATGAGTCAAAATGGAACAGTGCCATTTTGCAGTGCCCTGCTTCCCACATTGTCCCTTAATCTGTCAACAGTCAGCAAAATCAAGAGTTGAGGGACACTTTCGGCAATCCTGCTCCCACTCTGAGCAGTGAATATCTGCTTTATGAGAGAGTCCAAGGCTGTACCGTTGTGAGAGGAGACCCTCCCATAACAGACGTGCCCTGAATGGCTCTAACAACATCTGCTTTATCATAGTAGCTGTTAAAAAGGAGCTCGGGTCTGATGGCATTGCTGTATTGTGTTACAGCAGCATGGACTCTGTCATGACTGATGTCCAGGCTTTCAACCATTCTTACAACAAAGGCCTTTTAGCAAAGGGAACCCTCTTCTCCCACCATCCGAGCCATTGATCAGAAAGACCACATCCTTCTTCTCAACTCCAACCTCTGTGGTTTGGAAAAAAAGAGAAGAACCTAAGTAAAATTCTCTGTATAAGTAGACATTCTTTTTGTGAATCATTTCATACACAGAAAATCCTAGGATTCTAGGTCAGGCATCATAATTGTTGATTCAATTTATTTAAAGCTTATCATCTGTATCCAGTCAGCCTATATCCATTGATGGGTTGGATCACGGCTCTTCCCGCCCCAGGGGGCGGGAAGCAGTCTGTGCGCCAATCAAAACCATGCTGCATGCTGCCTTTGGCATGGCAATCAGCTGTGTGAGGACCCCAGGTGTCCCCCCAGACCCAGGAGGCACCAGTTGCCGAGCTGGGAGGGTACGGGGCGGGGTGGTGGCAGCACTCCCCAGTGGACCTGGAAGTGCTGCTGGGTCTGCTGCTGAGCACGCTCGGGAGCCTCCTGCACTTCTGTGGGATACTTCATGTGCCCCAGTACCACAACATTCACGAGCCACCTGCTACCTAGGGGCATGTAGAAAAATATTTAAAGCTGTGCCTATGTCCGAATCCCCTAATCTTTCCAAATCTCTCTGAATCAGAGAGAGTAAAGGGTCCTCTGATTCAATTTGGATTTAGAGATTTGGCCACCAAATTGGGCCGAATCTAATCGGGGACTGAAGCTTCACACAGCCTTAGTCATCTGTGTCAATAGCTGGAATTTGGTGTTCTTGCTGTTACAACATTCAATTTCCCTTTCTAGGTTTTTCCATACAAATAAGGGAGGCAGAACAGGTCTGCATGGATAATACATAGATAACACACTAAATGTAACACTCCACTGGGAAAGTCGTATTCTCATGCAAAATCTCATGAGGCAGCATCACATTTTTACAAATCCTACATTCTCTAAAGACGCCAAAGACTTACCTTCTTGTTGCTGAGCCTCAACTCTACAACAGCCTGAGAGTATGATAGAAGTAATTGCCACTGTGGACAAATGTTAATGTTTCCTCTATATTGATTGTTTGTTTGTTTGTTTTGTTTTGCTTGTTTTTCAAAGCGCCAATGTGTGACCTAAATAGAAACAGAGACATTGTCAGCGTAAATTGCATTCTCAGTTCAGCTCTAATAATGATTTCACAACACGGTTGTAGGGCTGGGCCTGAGCATGAGCATATACAGCACATGGCACAATGGGGTTTTAATCCATTAGCAGGTCTGCAAACCACTGTACATACAATAAACTGCAGTAGAAGTAATAGTGATGGTGATGATGATGATAATAAGCACTTCCCTCAGTTAGTGATCTCTACTTTGCAACTTTCCCCTCATGTCCATGGAAAATTCTACTACTGAACAAGAAAATTATAGGGTCCTTAAGTAGTACATGACATAAGCCTGTTATGGATTTTTCCATAGAATTCCCACTGGTTTCAATGAGAGGTCTGTAAATGAAAAGAAGTCCTAGTATCATGGGCTTCAGAATACAGGCAGCCCTCGACTTGCAACGTTTCGAGTTACAACGTTTATAAATTGACACCCTGTTTCAACTTTCATACGTCAGTTTCGACTTTACAATGCTTGATTAGATGCGACTCCACGCCAGCAAACGAGTTCACTGTGTCACCCATCTCCCTGGAGAACATCTGTCCAAACTTCCTTGGACACTTTCTTTAAGAAAGCAGCCAAGACTCCAGAAAAACCTGCAGCCAAGACTCCTGAGAAGACTCCAGCCAAGAGCCCTTCAAAAAGTCCAGCAGAGTCGCCTCAAAGAAGTCCTACCAAAGCAATATGATTGCTATTTACAATATAAAAACATTAATGTAGCTATATTACTCATCTATAATTGATCGAGTACAAAATTCTGGGGTATTTTTTGGTGAAAATAGGGTGTTGGTCCTATGGAACCAATCCCCCATTTATAACATTGTTTCTTATGAGAAAATTGGTTCCGAGTTGCAACGTTTCGACTTATGACAGTTTTCAGGAACCAGTTTTGTCATAAGTCCAAGGACTACCTGTAGTTGAAAAATCCTGCTTGTGCCTAGAAGTCTAGGTACTTGCTTGACTGAAACCAAGATCCGTAGGGATAAACGAATGTTAGTCAGGATGGATGAGTGGTTAAGGCGATGGGCTAGTAAATCAGTGAGGTCTCTCCTCAGCCCCACCACAGGCACTAACAGGCCCCTCCTGGGGACTGGCTCTGCTGTAGCTTTGCTCCTGCTTCTCCTCAGATGAGGCGGCTGTAATATATATCATGTGTAGAGTATAAAACTAAGGCAGCAAAAGAAAAAAAACCTCAGCAGCCAGCAATCTAAATAAAACCTCATTTACGGCTTTGGACTGCTTTTCATTTTCGGTTCCTGACAACAATGGGATTAAATTTACTCTGCTACTGGCTTCCTCTATGTTGCTGGTTTGCAACTTTTTATCTGCTCAGGTATGAGCCAAAGCCCCTGCAAATAAATAGGGCTGTGGAGTGTCTGTTGATCAGATCCCATTGAAAGTCTGGGATAAGATGCATTCATAAGATGAATCACGCTCAGGCTGAGTGTGGTTACTTGATTTAATAAAAAAGAAAAGTTTTGGCTAAACTTACATCTCTCCTCAGCAGAGGAGATTCTCAAATACTGAGTCAGAGCCATTGCACTCAGGGTGAGTGTGGTTACTTGATTTAACAAAAAAGAAGAAAAGTTTTGGCTAAAGCAAACCAAACTCTGCAAAGGCAACAACATGCAACTTGAATTGACAGGAGAGAGAACTTCCAGTACAGAAGCAATGACGTGAAGTAAGGTTAACTCAGCCATAACAGCTCTAATATACTTAAAAAACACTTACCCTGAGTAATCTGAAATGTTAATTCCAGGACTTTTCACACCAAGTAATTTGCACCTTTGAATCCTCTCTTCTTTTTGTTCAGTCTCCCCTTCGCTCAGGTGTTTTTCTCCTCAGAGGGAGGAATTTGGGTTGTGAATGGTAAAAATCCTCTTGCAGTGAAGCTGGAGCAGCAGAGAAGTGAACTGCCTTTTGGTGGAGGATGCAGCTCCAAACTGGATTGTCTCCAGTATTACACTCAAGGCCTCCTCGCTGAGTGACTCAATTGTAAATGAAAACCAACTCATGCTACGTTGTTTCTTCTGACTCTTCTTCCAGGGTGATGTCACATCTTAAAGGCTGTCTCCATCCCACACTCTTACATGAGCTCTTCAAAAAAGTTCTTCTCTGGTCATCTTTTTAGCCTAAAAGCTCTCTTAAGTGGGATTTATGTTTGAAGTGATTCCCCAGCACCCAGAGTTGGCCTGAACTGTGGTTCAGTTATCTGAAGGGGAAAACACAGGAGATGCAGTGTTTTTTCACATTTAAAAATAAAAGTTTGCTTGTTTGAATTTTAGAACTTTTGAAAGCTGTTCCTCTATTCTTACAGTGAAAGTAAGAAAACTATCTGAAGGCACTGGCAATAGGATAACTAAACCAGTTAGTTATCTTTTGGGCTGTTCTTAGGAGGGAAGGGTCAGCACAAACTTGCCAAATCACAATCTTGTAAGTGTGAATGAAATACTAACTTCATATTTGTTTTAGTAAATCTCTGAGCATTTTCTCTTAACATGTTAATAAAACTCAGTGACATGACAGACTCCCCTGAGAACAAACTTACAGTTGTTGATCCTTAGTTTTAATATAGACTGCTTTGGTCCAGTCTGGTGATTTAGTTTTGAATTGTTATTTCTTCTAGCAGTATGCTTTTGATGGATATGATTGCAAAAAATATATTTAACTGAGCTTTATTTCGTTAGGAATAATGCACGGTATCTTTGGAAAAGAATTCCCCCTGCTATTAAATCTGTGAGTACTTGCTTCAATGCCTTTTTGAGCGATACAACATCTGTTCCATGTAACTTCATAAGTCCCTACTCATGGGTCTGAGCTTACGTAGTTGATGGACTGTCGCAGGCTGAGTTTTGAGCTCCCTTAAACCATTTTGCCAGTGGGGACACCTGACAAGATGTATTAATCTTTTTCTATCACTGATTTAAGATTTCCGTCTCTTTGCTGGTGTAAACATCTTTTCTTCTCTGACTCTTCCTTTGCAAAAATAAGATTTTCAGACCACCTCCTGAATAGGAGAGTTCAGTAAATCACCATTAGCTTTTACTGAAAATTAACTTCCATGTGCCAAATTGCCACCATCAAAAAGAGACTATATCCTATTCTCAGTATTAGCTGTCTCCCTCTAAGAACCCTGAAATGCGGCTATGGGCAAAATTGGTGTACAGGTTTCCCTTGCCAACCACGGTTTTGACTATCTGCAGTTAATATTCCATATACCATTTTACCTACCACGGTATACAGTTTTGAGGATGGGGGAAAAAAAATTTGGGAAGGCTGAGCATGGGCCCTGGCTGGGCCAGCTCATGGGGCAGTCGGGGGGAGGAGGGAGGTGCCTGGGCCCCTGGTTTTTGCACAGGGCAGGAGCAGGCCACAGCTGGGCTCAGCTTCTGCTGTCTGTCTGTGCCTCACTGCTGCCTCGCTTCTCAGAACTTCTTTAGTTACTGGCTTAACTGTTTCTCACAGCAAAAAGCAACTAATAAGTAAATAGCAAAATCTATCAAATTCTATGTTTTCAACATTGATTTTCTGCTTGACAACTTGATTCCTTTACCTGTGTGTCTTTTAGTCTCTTCCTGCTTTTGTAGGCTTAATCATCCAAAAATAATACATTTAAAATTACATGATTCTGATGCTTTTTCTTTCCTTTTGCAGTAATTTTTTGAGGGATGGGATCTAGAAAGGCGAGGCAGTGTTAAATGTGGTTTTACTATGCTGCTTTTACTTTCCACAGCCTGTTTTGTTGCTTCTGTGTTAACAGCATTGGCTTTAAAAATTACCATTGCTTGAGTTAGGCTGGCACTTCTGTGACAGTACTAGTAATATGCTACCCTATTATTTGTATCTTAAGATTGCTGTTGTATTGTAATCTTTATAGTTGTGGTAAAGTCTCTGTTGCTAAAGAGGAAAACATACTTTCCATACATATTGAATTCTCATGAATAATCACTGGGGACAATGCAGATGATTTGTTATTAACTTGTTTGCTTTTTTACCATAGGCAAATTCTGAACTTGGTGGGATTTGGTCAGTGGGACAGAGAATCTGGCAGAGAGACTTCCCAGGGATCTATACCACAATCAGTGCACATCAGTGGTCTGAGACTATTCAACCAATCATGGAAGCACTAAGAGGTACAGAAATACTTTGTGTGTTAATATCACAAGGAACTTAATTTGGGAAAGAGGTTTCATATGTCTATCATCAGGTCAAAGTAGCAACACATCCTTAAAGGAGGTATTAACAAGGGTATTAAGAATCAACTTTTAAGACTGTCCCTCAGTAGCTTTTAAAACTAGTTTTTACAGTTTTACCTGACAGATTCCAGGTATGAAACATAAATATTTAAACTCTTCACTGCAACATGCGTTCAAAAGCAGATTTTAAATTCTGTCTTATTACTGCTGTAGTTACGATATGTTCTAAATTGGAAAGACCCTTTACTCTTCCATGTTGTAATGGCATACTTTGAATATTTATGATCGAACTTTTTGGTCCGACTTTCAAAACAAGTCATTTGTTAGATCCCTCAACTTCGATAGCATTCCTTCAAAACAAATCCTGCAAGTTGGGAAATTCTTTAGACAGAAATTGTAAACAGTTGTGAACAAAAATTCTAACTTCTAAATTAAAGACATTGTGAAGCTATTCCTGAGTAGTAATGTCCTTAACACTAAGGTACTAATAGCTTCTTGCAACATGAGGGCACTAGCATCCTCAAAAATATTTTTGAAGCCATTGTGCTGTTTCACCCAGCCTTTTTTTGTCATTAACAAAACCATTTCATTTATTTGGGGAATACTTTCAGATTAAAGCCTCATCTCAGAAATTTAAAATGAAAATCCCATATTAACCTAATATTTTCTTATTGAATATTTAAATTGAATTCTGTCACTTGGTAAAGTATACATTTCATAGAGTTAATTTGGTATAAACATATAGGCTGCTGAAAAATGGGGGGGCGGGGACAAACCCTAAAATTCGCTTTACTGAAAGAAGCAATAAGCTAGTTTACCTGGCTTTGTAGTGTCTGCAGTTCCTTTGCTTCACTACAAAGGAGCTGTAGAATCATCTATTACATAAATGTTCCAGGAAGCCAGGCTGAAGTGTGCAGTCTATACAGATGTTGGGCGAGCCAGGTCAAACTAATGCAGTGAGTCTTCTAGGCAAGTCTTGGGCTCAGCGCAGGGACACGCTGAATTTAAAGCAGGTTTTTTACGTCTTTAAGCAGCCTTAGATTTTGAGACTTTTTCAGACTGGCTTATGTTACATCAGGTGTTTGAAAATTCTACTCTAATATAGTAAATAAATTTCCTGACTCCTCCCCAAAATGCCTTGTAGGGGTTGTCATAAGCTTCATGAAGATGTCAAATTCAATTACTCCCTGGATCTCCAGGCCAGCAGC